GTATGACTTTCTGAATAATACCTGCCAGAAGAGGAAAAAAGCGGCTGTTTGAAGGTGCTGAAAGGATAGCTTTCCCTCTTTTCCTACGGAATAAATAACTGGATATTAAGAAACCTATTTCTTTTAGGTGAAAATTGGTTTTAAGCGATGAGTGGGAAGAGAGAGGATTAAAAAGAAAATATTTGTATGCTAAGACTTTGTTGGAGCAGATGCCTTAAGGATTTGAAGACTAGAATATATTGTAATAAGATTTTAAACAGATTTGGACTTTCTTTCTCTTGGATTGATATTACCCCAGAAGGAGAAAGTGAGAACTCTGCCTTGGTTTGGACTGACTGATAACTTTGGGACTGTTTTATTTTTTTTATTTTCTTTTGAATATTCTGGTTGTTGTAAGAAGAAAGAAGGGGAAAAGAAAAGAAAAGATTTATAATGGCTCTCTCTGTTGAGGAACTAAGAAAAGAATATGAACAAGCAAAAAAAAATGGTAAAGATGGTGTGGAAGAAGCTTTCCTTTTTTTAGAAATGGCGCTTATTAATTATCAACAAACATTACAACAGATGAAGACAGCAGAGGAACAAGAAAGAAAGGAAGGAGCCATTTTTAATGAATCTCAGAATTTGATCCAGAAAAAAGGAAGAGAGAAAGAAAAGAAAAGAAGAGAAAAGAAGAAAACTAAAGGACTTAAGGACTTAAGATCTAAAAAAACATTTAAGAAAGGGAAAAATAAGGTGCAAAACCAATATGATGATAGTAAACAAAAGGGAAAAGGAATACGACAGAGAAGGGAAGCTGGTAAGGCAGAGGCTAGAAGAAGGGGGGGTAGAAAGGTTTGTTGGGAGAAGAAAGAAAGGGAAAAGGTGGAGAAAAGCTACAATGTTTTGAAATTAAATGGAAAAAAGAAATTTTTTATGGATAATGGATAAAGTATAATTTAAAAAAAAAAAAGATTTTGCAATGTACATAAGATGAGATGGTAGTATTGTAATGGTTTAAGAGTTGATAAGAGATTAAATGTTAAAATGTTTAAAAATGATTGGCTTTAAAACTTAATAATAGGGGAGGTTTAGAATATTGTTTTAATTAAAGAGTTTAATAAGACTATGGTATTGATGTTATTATAAAATTTTTATTATAGTATCTTTTTTTAATATTTGGATTTATTGTCTAATTATGTACTTAATTATGTTGGATGTATTAGTTAGATAGAATGTACCAAGCAAAATCGGATTGGGTATTAGATATTATTTTAAAGATTAATTTGATTAACTTAGGGGGGAGATAGAAAGGCATCATACTCTGATTAATGATTTCAGGAGAAACTTATTTTCTTTTTTTTTTTATAAGGAATGAGACAAAGGGATGATAAAAAATGGACAAAAGATATAAATATAATGATTCAAACTAAGATGATTAATTGAGATAGAAGTAAGAAGTGTGAAATATGTGGGGAAGTTAATATAGAAGGCTTAGAATGGTAAATAAAATAAGTAATGATATGTAAGATGAGCATGAATATAATTGAAGTCCATGAAGAGAGAGACACCTGGGTCCAAGTTACTTTCCAAAAAGATATTTTTTTTATGTTTTGTGTGTTGTGTGTATATGTCTTTTTTGGGGGGGGAGAATTGGTAAAAACTTGTAGAAATATAGAATGAGAATAATGGTAACTAAGTCAGAAAGAAACAGATGAAATAATAATAATGATATTGAATAAGAGTAAAGAGAAGTAAAGAGAAATTGAATAAGAGGTTTTGGTATGTTGTATTGAAATGGTTTAAAACAGAATCATAATTTATCTGACTTGTTAAATTGACAATGAAAAAAGGTTTAAACATGTAATGAATAATGATAATTTGTGTGTTTTAAAAATTAATAAAACTTGTTTTTTTTTTTTTTAAAAAAAAGAATTGCTCGCCCGCAATTCTTCATGTTTCTCCAGGCCTGGCTTGCTGAGGGGGGAGAGCAGCCCTGACATCTCTGTGGCCCCCTCCATGGCCCCAGCATCACTGCCCAGGGAAGGCAAAGGAAAAGAAAGCGAGCAGAAACATGACTCTCGGTGGGGCGAAAGAGCAGAGATCGCGGAAGGCACAGGCAACAGAAAATGTCGCTTTTCAAAGGCAGCATCTTACATCTTGCCTGTGCCTTCCTTGATCTCAGCTCTTTTACCCCAGTGAGAGCTATGTTTCTACTTGCTTTCTTTTCCTGTGCCTTCCCCAGGCAGCAATGGCTGGGGCAGCAGAGCAGAGCACCAAGAGGGATGAGAAAACTGACACCAACATCCCATTCCGAACCTCTGCACTGGATGGTGAGTGCAGACTTGCCCCTTCCGCCCCCTCCCACCACCACCAGCTGATACTTTTCCTGCCCCAGGCCATCCCTACAGCCTGCGGCCATCGAGGAAGAGCCCAGTTCAAGAGAGGCAAGCTGGAAGGTATGGGAGTGCCATGCAAATGCAAGTAGTGTGGTGCTCCTGCACCTTCCGGCCATCTCCATCACCGCTTCAGCCTGCCTGTGCCACCAGCCCCTTTTGCTGCAACAGCACCATTACCTCGTCCTGGCCGGTGAGGGCTGCGCTGCTTTTTGCAGGTTTGTGCTCAGCCAAAGGGTGGGGGCCTGTGGGTGGGCAGGCCATGTGGGCAGCGCAGCCTTGTGTTCCCACACAGCCTGGATTAATTGCTTGGGGGAGGCTGGGGGGACATTTTTCTGCTGACCACCAAAATTTTCTCACCAGTGGGCTTTGGTCCACCAGTTGGCGATCAATGTTCTAGATATTGACAGATCTGTTTTTTATTATCTTTGATATCCTGAACTTATCCTGAGTATAAGTTTAGTTTCCTTCTCAGCTGCCAGTGTCTTTCTCTTTTTAGTACAAAGCTTTTTTTCCCTTTCTCTTTGATTCCAGGTTTGTGAAAATAAGATTTTTATTTCAAGATTTGGGAATACTGGCTCAACTCTTCCAGTACCCATTGTTCTACTCTCTTCAAACTGGGAAACCTTAGCTTATCCCTTCCAAATGACCATATTATCATGCAATTCTAATTTAGGGTGCCTGCACTATGTGTTACAACAGAAGGTCTGAAATCAGGAATTCCTATTTCATGGCCAGTTTGGGGTAGGGATTAAGATGCTGACCTACAAACCAGGACACTGTGAGGTGTAGACCTTCCTCAGGCATAAAAACCATCTGACAAGGTGATTTGGGACCAGTCACTCGTTCTCACCCCAACCCACCTGATGTGGTTGTTGTGGGAAAAATAGGAAGAGGAAGGGATTTTATTTATTTAGCGTATGGCATGTGTTAGCCAGGAAAGGAAAATTTTTGAGCGGGATGCCTGAATGCCAGTAGGCAATCAGGGGAGGCTCCTTTCTTGTCCTTCCATGGTTTATTCACTCATGGGAATCGAGCCACAGAGCTGTCTACCTCAGTGATGTGCAGGCCCAGCATCTTAGCATGTGAGCCACTGCAGCCCCTGGAGGAAGGGATATTAGGAATGTTCACTGTCTTGAGTTGTGTGTAAAAGTAATAAAGGCATGATTTAAAATATCTAAGAAATAAAAAATAAATGACTATTGAACTACATAAATGCCTATATAAAAAGAGGCAGTTTCTGTTTCAAATATTCCATCCCAATTGTACATAGATGGGGTCAACCAAGTAGCCCTGCTTCCATTCTCAAGAGACTACAATAACAAAAATAATTAATACTTGACTAGAGTCTATAAATCTATAAAAAATATGGCCTGCATCTTTGTTTTCCTCTTTCTTTTTCCTCCTGTGATTTGTCTTTTAGCTTGGCCAACATTCCTAGCTAGTCTCCCCAGAACCGGGCTACTGTTGTGATCTCATCTTCCTATGTGGAGATGGACAGAGATAATGGCATTCTGAGGCATAACATGTTCCTTCTTAGTTTGAAATTATCAAAACGTTCAGATTAGGACAAGTTAATGGTTGATTAGTCACTCTTTATTTTATTCCTTTCTCAAACTGTCAAAGTTTCATAGGTTGTTCAGAATTAGCTTATGCATCAATCTAACTTAGTGGAACCTAAGCTTTTCCAGTTCTTTCTGGAATCATACATGCGAGAAAGACATTTGACAAGGCTGTGATTTTTAATGTTCCTCCCCAGAGGGTTAGGATGCTGTGAAGCAGATTTCTTCCGCCACTTTTGCAAAAAGAGGATGTTCAAGACTCTTAAAGCTTATCTCCATCTCCTTCAAGTTCCTTACCAAAATATATTTATACCATTGTTGTGTTTCATCGCTTCTGCAAGGCTTTTACCTCCTTCTGTAGTGATGCTGTTAAAGGCAAGACTGTGAAGCAAATGATGGAGAAAGAGTTTTAAAAATCCAGAAAGTAGTACCATCCAAACAGCATTAAGTATTTTGATTATGTTTTAAATCATACTTTTAACAAATTAACTGAAAATTCTGCAGATGCTATCTTAGGGAGTTACACATATCTTAACACAGAAGAAGAAACTGGAAAGATTTCCTAAGCTCTATTTGTACTGAAAATGGATTCTGGAAACAATTAATTAGCTGTTGGCAGGATACATTATCTGTAGATAACTAACTAAAGAAAGTCTCCCACATTTTCACAATATTTTGAGCATAGCATCTCAAGCTGTATTAATGAAGAAAAGCATGACTGCAAGGCAAGCATGGGAGCAAAGTGAAAGAACAAACTATTTGGAAAATATGAAAAGGAATTCAGCTCCCTAGTCCCTCAAATTGTGTCTCCTGAACTCTCCAGGAATTATAGCCATATATTCATTTCTATGCACTTGATACGAGTTCAAAGAGAGGTCAGTCGCCCTGCTGCCTTCAGGGGCTGCAATAACAAATTCAGGGAAAAACATTTTTTATTCCCAAGTTTGTAACAGTGTTTCTTTATGTAAGCTGGTTGGGAAATTCTGGGACTTGAATCTTCTTCAAGAAAAACACTAATTTAAAATGTCTAAGATTAGAGTGCAGTTAGAAGCAGGGCTAAAGGTGTTGCCCTTGAAACAAACAAATCTAACCAGAACTTTATCTAAAAACAATCCAACAATTGGGAAGATGAGAAGTCAAAACCGCTTACTAGTATCTTTCTGCAGCTGACTGAGAAACCAAAAGACATGAAGTTCTCGGACTAGAAGTTCCATTGTCACTGATAGTAGTTACTATTCTTGGGAAAATAAGTGCCCTAATGAAATTCATTAACCAACTTTCCACGTCATACTTTTTATTGCCACTACAAACCATCCTAGAGCTTTGGAAAAATAAGAACCTCTCTTATTAAGTCTTTGAATAGATGTTTGTGAAAAAAGAGACTACAAATACACAAACTACATTAATTATGAGGCAAATACAGAACAGTCTACAAATGTTTACTAACTGAATATTTATCCCAAATCACCACTGTTTTCCTCCTGGAAAACAAGCACAAAAGTTTTGAAGGGGAATGGGAATTCCCAAGCTTAGAAATCATTAAGGTTCTGGAAACAGAAGCCTTCCTCCTTGAACAGTTTCTTTCCTTCCATATTTATTTGTATGTTATTTACTTATAGAGCTCTAGGTGGTTTACACTACATAAAGAGTTTTTAAAATATTCATAAAATTGAAATAGAGCAATTCACTAAAAAATGTTACTATTACTAGATAAAGAATTTTCTGCCAATAAATCCTCCAAGATAGCAGCATATTTACCATTTTTTTCTGAAGGAAATAAGGGGATGGACATATTTGGCTCAGGGCACAAGCTCTTCCAGAAAGTCTCTGAACTCTCCTTCTCTGGTTTCTAGTTAAAAAATCCTCTTGGGATGGGTAATTGGCATATTCTCCCACTGCTGGGCTGTACATAGAGCACAGACTTTACCACAAGACCATCATCAAGGAAATAAGGGAATAAGTTAAAGAATGGATGTTTCTTCAGGTCAGGTCAAAGAACTTTTGCCTAAAATTTATCTTTTTAAAAAAAAAATGGAGTGTGAAAGTAAGTACTGATATGGGATGAAGGTCTGTTATTCAAAATAAAACATCTCACTTGGTAGAAAAAAACCTTGGGATCCTCATACTCCGTTAGCCAGTGATTGCAAATAAGATAATTTCTCTTCTTCAGCACTAAGAACATGATTCATTTCTTTGTAACAATAGTAAAACCTACAACCCAGTGACCTACTCGTGAGCTTCGATGTCATATCCCTCTTCACCCAAGTACCCATCAAAGAAGCCTTGACAGCCATCCAAAACAAATACAACCCCCCCAAACACATCCTAGATCTGACCAACCACTGCCTAACCAACACATACTTCATCTACAATGGACAAAGATACAAACAGACAGAAGGAGCACCCATGGGATCACCCCCTCACCCGTCATCGCTAACCTATACATGGAACACTTTGAAACCAACGCTCTAGACAAATCCGAACACAAACCCAAACTCTGGCTCAGATATGTGGATGACACTTTCGTAATTTGGCCACACGGGAAAGAAAAACTGGACAACTTCCTCACACATCTTAACAACCTACACCCCAACCTACACCATGGAAACAGAAATCAACAACCAACTTCCCTTCCTGGATGTCCTAATTTACAAAAAACCCAATGGCTCCCTAGGACACACCATCTACCAGAAAAAAACACACACCAACTGCTACCTAAATGCACAATCCCATCACCACCCTGCACAGATCAACTCTGTAGCCAAGACCCTCATCTCCAGAACCAAACGCCTAGCTGACAAAGACCACTTGAGAACAGAACTACACACCCTCACTAACGTATTAATTTCCAACGGATTCCAAAGAAACACTATCACCAATCTAATCTGAAAAGAGATACCCCCAAAAAACCAAGACTCAGAAGAAGACAACGGTATCGTACTCCTCCCCTACATCAAAGGCACCAGAGACAAAATTAGCAAAATTCTCCACAAACACAATATCAGGACAGCCTTCGGCACTGACCAAAAAATAGCCAACATCCTAAGAAACCCCAAAGACAAGATCTGGCTAGAAAACCAAGGAGTTTATGAAATACCATGCAACAATTGCCCAGCCACATACATTGGACAAACCAACAGGAGAATGCACGTATCGCAGAACACAAAAACGCAGTCAGAAGAGAAGAAAATACTTTCTCCCTCTTCCAGCACCTTAAAGCCAAAGGACATGAAATTAATTTCGAAGGAAACAAATTAATATCCAACACTGAACACTCCAGCAAGAGAATAATCAGGGAAGTCATCGAGATAGTGAAACACCCCCATAATATGAATAGACAGGACGATACCTCCCGCCTACCAGACATCTGGAAGCTAGCCCTCACCAACAAATGAGTCCCAGCCACGAAAACCAACACCAGACCCAAAACAACACGGGACACCACCGCCAATCCCCCTCATCAGACCCAGGCCCAAGCCCATCCTATAAACGAAGGACAACCACCATCCAGAAAACAGACCACGGCTGCTTCGCCAGCTGTTGCACCCCCGACCCCAAAACCAAGCAAGCTGATACACGCCAAGAACACAGACCCAGACCCCAAACTCGAAGCCAGACTAAAACCCAGAATGCTACATCACAGCCACCCGCTCAGGATATCACATCAAAATACTCAGGAAATTACACCACAAGAACTCAAGAAGTTGCAACACAGCAAATGACCCAGGATATCACAGCACAAGACCAAGGATACCACAGCAATAAGTCTCACAAGATCATCACACAACCCATTACCCAAGGCGTTACTACACAGGAGGCTAATGGAAAGGAGATCAAAACACAAACAACCCAGGAGATTACAACGTAGGACCCAGGATACCACAACAAAAGAACTCGCAAGCCATCACATAACCCATTACCCAAGCCGTTAAAACACGAGAGGCTAATGGAAAAAAGATCACTACAAAACAAACAACCCAGGAGATTACAGCACAAATCCAGGATATCTCCACAACAAAACTCACATGGCCATCACATAGCCCGTTATACCAACATCAACTCCTTCAACCAATCAAGAGGCAGCAGCGCAGCCAACCAGCCCAGCACACCAGCCCCCACCACCAGTATTTATAGAGAGATGGCAGTTCCGATCACACACTGCTTGCACTGGCACGAAGCCGAAAGCACCAGCCTGAGGATGGCGAGTGGGACCTCGCCGAAACGTCACCAAGATACTCTTAATCTTACACGGGAAAAGACCCGAACACACCTAGACCTACACACACACACACACACACACACACATGTATATATATGTATATATATGGGTTTGTGTTCGGATTTGTCTAGAGCGTTGGTTTCAAAGTGTTCCATGTATAGGTTAGCAATGACGGGTGAGAGGGGTGATCCCATAGGTGCTCCTTCTATCTGTTTGTATCTTTGTCCATTGTAGATGAAGTATGTGTTGGTTAGGCAGTGGTTGGTCAGATCAAGGATGTGCTTAGGGGGGTTGTATTTGTTTTGGATAACTGTCAAGTCTTCTTTAATGGGTACTTGGGTGAAGAGGGATATGACATCGAAGATCATGAGTAGGTTGCTGGGTTGTAGGTTTTGTTTCTTTACTGTTTCTATGAAGTGGAAAGAGTTTTGTACGTGTGAGGTAATGGATTCTGTAGGGCTGGAGTTGTTTGGCAAGAAATTTGGCAAGATTCTGTAGAGGTGAGCCTATGGAGCTGACTATGGGTCTGAGTGGTGTTCCTTCTTTGTGTATCTCAACAGCCTACACCCCAAAATACAATTCACCATGGAAACAGAAGCCAATAACCAACTTCCCTTCCTGGACGTCCTAATTTACAAAAAACCCAATGGCTCCCTAGGACACACCATCCACCGGAAGAAAACAGACACCAACCACTACTTAAACGCACAATCTCATCACCACCCCGCACAGATCAACTCCATAGCCAAGACCCTCATCTCCAGAACCAAGCGCCTAGCTGACAAAGACCACCTGAGACCCTCATTAACATATTAATTTCCAACGGATTCCAAAGAAACACAATTAACAACCTAATCCTAAGGGAGACACCCCCCCAAAACCGAGACACAGAACAGGACAACGGTATCGCCCTCCTCCCCTACATCAAAGGCACCATCGATTAAATCAGCAAAATTCTCCACAAACACAATATCAGGACAGCCTTTGGCACTGACAAAAAGATAGCCAACATCCTAAGAAACCTCAAGGACAAGATCCAGCTAGAAAACCAAGGAGTTTATGAAATACCATGCAACAATTGCCCAGCCACATACATTGGACAAACCAACAGGAGAATAAATGCACACATCACAGAACACAAGAATGCAGTCAGAAAATACTTCCTTCCTTTTCCAGCACCTTAAAGCCACAGGACATGAAATTAATTTTGAGAGAACCAAATTAATCTCTAATACTGAACATTTCAACAAGAGAATAATCAGGGAAGCCATTGAAATAGAGAAACATTCCCATAACATGAATAAACGGGATGATACCTCCCACCTACCAGACATCTGGAAACTAGCCCTTATCAACAAACGAGTCCCAGCCACGAAAACCAACACCGGACCCAAAACAACACATGACGCCACCACCAATCTCCCTCACCAGACTCAAACCCAAACCTATCCCATAGACGAAAGGCAACCACTGTCCAGAAACCAGACCATGGCTGTATCACCAGCTGCCACACCTCCTGACCCCCAAACTAAGCAAACTGACACACACCATGAACATATTGCCAGACCTCAAACTCGGAGCCAAACCAAAACCCGGAACTTTACATCACAGCCATCCACTCAGGATATCACATCATGGAACTCAGGAGGTTATACCACAGAACCTCAGGATGTTGCAACACAGCCATTTATCCAAAAGAAATCCAGTAAAGCTTGCCATCTTGTGGAGGAACTAGAAATGCCTACATTTCTTATTAAAACTAGCAGATGTTTGAAAGATGAAAGAAAAGTGATGGACATCCCTACCACCTCTTTTTCTTTTAAAAAAGAAATCTTTTAAAAGTCACCTTGTTAAATTTTGAGGGGATGCCAATGCCGATTTTATTTTTAATGGGTTTTTTTATAGTCAAATATAGACTGCCAATATTTTCTAATTGCCATACTGTGTTTAAAACATCTTACACTTACATTTGATGCTTTAAATGGTTGATGCTCTACTTTATCCTTTAAAATCCATTGCTAAATGTTTATCAGACCCTCTAGAATTCCACAGGTGCCACAGTTCCTTTTCAAAAAAGCTCATGTCTTTTTTGAACTGACTGCTTTTTACTTACAATAGGATGGTTGATCTACTAGAATGTTAGAGCTGTACTTATATGTGAGGGGGAGGATCACAGAATGTGACTATATAATCCATGTTTTGGGCTATCATATCTACATTGCAGAAATCTAAACCATTACTTGATGGCAGAAAAGAGATTTTCTGTTGATAGAAGGATATTTGGACAACTTTGAGAAACATTTTTAGTTCGACATGCCCCTTTAATTTTTACATGTTTTCTATCTCAAAATGGCAAGAAAGTGTAACAGAAATTTTGAATGATCATGGTCAGAATAGAATCAAAGGGCTGCAGAAAGGTGACCCAACTGTCTGCAAAGGTATTTCTCCAAACAATATTTGGTTGTTCTATCTAGCCAAGCTTTGAATTTTCTCCAATGTTATAACTGTATAAATAAGGCCCTGGCAAAAGTATTGTGGGGAATTTAAAAAATGGCATTGTGATGCCCTGGATGATAGGATGAAAGAGAAAAGAGAGGTAATGTTGAGAATGACACCAGAATATTGAGGTTCTGCACAAAAGGGTAATGTTGGTTCCGCAAAGTTCACTGAGCAATTCTGAAACCTAGATGGCCTTTTGGGTGGCATGTGGCATGAATATCAGTCTACTCATAAGTATTTTACCTGATATTGGTTAAGGTGGGGTGATTTTTCAATGCCTCCGCAAAAGCCTTTGCTCCTTCATCTCCAATCTTGTTACCCCACATTCTGCCAGACAAAAAGACCAGGTACATTAAAGAACGTTATCATCATGAGTTTTTAAAAATATTTTTAAAATCCTGTGTTTATTATGTTTATAAATAACTCAATCCAGCAAGAATACTCCTTTCTATCCTTACCTTTTCCCCACAATAGCAAGTCTTTGAGGCAAATTAATCTGAGGCAGAGTGACTGGCCAAAGTTACCCAGTTGGCTTTCATGCCTACGGCAGACTAGAACTCACATCTCCTAATTCCTAGCTTCATACATTACGATAAGCCATCAGAATCACACTATCTCAAAGGTGCTTTTTTTAAAAAAAAAAGGCAACTGGGCTTTCTGCCTAGAAAGCATCTTTGGGACAACCATGACCTGAATAACTGAGAATTTCCATAGACAGATCACACTAGTTGAGAATTCAGGAAATTGAAGTCCTCATACAGGGAAAGTGCTTAGAATGGCAATAGCATGTTCAGGTTTAGCATAATATGTGAATTAGGTCAATTGTGCCTTTTTCAATAATCTATAGATAAAATATAGGTAGTTCTTGACTTACAACCATTTACTAAATAATGGCTTGAATTAATGGCAATTTCTGAAAAATTCAGTTACAATTTAAATTTGAACTTAAATCTGTCATCTCATCCCTGCAGTCATGTGATCATAATTTTGGGTACATAGCAAACTGTTTACAATCTGTTGCAGTATCCTGTGATCATGATTTGTAATGTTTTTGCTGGTTTCTGACAAAAACCATTGCTTAACTGGATTTGCACTAGCAACTACATGAGTTGAATTATAACTATGTGATTCTTATGACTGTTATAATAATGTCAGTAAAATCAGGTCCGATTATAAGCTGACTCACCTTATGATGGTAATGGCTTACAATAGAAATTCTACACCGAAATTGTGGTCATAAATCAAGGAATACCTATGCATATGGTTTAACATTATACGGGAACAGAATGAATAAAAAAAAATAAACTTATTCATTTTTTTATGTTGCATTTTTATATGTTGCATTTATTTCCTGGTTTTTTTCTCTGGAAACTCAAGTCTAAAACCTCTTATCCCCTTATTTTATTCCTACAACACTAACTCTGTGAGAGTAAACTTGTCCAAAGTCAGTGAGTTCTGTCAACTAATCCTTATACAATTCCAATTAAATTTAATTTTCCTTGTTAACTGCCAGATTTCCTATAGCAAAATATTGCAAAAGGAAAGCACATCATTGTTTGATTTAACTATATATGTGTAAAAAAATAGCTTAAGCTGAAAAATTAATATAGTAGCAAAATATATTGAACAATCTTTTAAGTACAGATTCCTTTATTCACATTTGATTTGGATTTTTTTAACATACATCAACAAACCAATTCCTGAGAGATCCTCCATCTCTGCAAATGCCTTTTTGGACATATTAATTTAATATGGATATTTATAATTTGTACTTCTCCATAAGATTGCAAATGTATTCAATATATTTTAAAATATATTATAAATATAAATATAAAAATATATTTAAATGTAAAAACTTTTTTAATCAGGTTCAGCTCTCAGTGATTCTGTGGACACTCATAGTTTTCTTAGCAATAATACAAAAGTAGTTTGCTACCCTTCTTTTGGACTTCCCAATTTAGCTTTTAATCCTGAGATTCAATTCACATATTAACTTTTGGGAATTTTCATCACATTTATTTAGGGGTTGCTGCCTATATAGTTCCCAATGATGCAGAATTTAATTTATTCTTTTGTATAGTTTGTTTTCTGTTACTTTTTTGTTTTGTTTACACATTGTCTTTTATATCCAGTGAATGGTTAAAAACTAAATTTAGATATCTTTTTTAAAATTCTAAAAGATAGGAGATATGGAGCTAAGAAAATGCTTTCATGTCAAGTACAGAAGGACAAGGAAGCTAACAATGAGATTAGAAATGAGGGTTAATAAAGCTAGACTTTTTAGCAACATAAATGTTAAAATGAAGTTACAGCTTGTCTATGTACAACTGGTTCAGCACTGGTTCAAACGTACGATGGTGCTAAATAACCAGACTTCATACCTATGGTCATTGCAGTGTCCCACAGTCACTATTTGTGACCTGTCAGTTTCTTGCAAGCAAACTCAGTGGGGAAGTCATGGTCACGAGAGGTCCTCATTTAGTGACCCATGTGGTCCTTGCTTAAAGACCACAACTGGACTCCTGGAAGTGTTGCCACTAGGCAGCAAGGTCACATAGGTGTTTTTTTTTTTTTAATTTATGATCAATGGCAGAGTTTCTGGTTCCAATTAACATCATTAAATGAGGACTGGTTTCTGTCCAGAACATTTTTTTAATGCCATACTTACCCAATTTCATACATAGTTTTACTTTTCTTGATGGCATTAGCAAGACTTTTCCCTCCCTCGGTTGTTATCTTGTTTGCTCCTATCCTGTAATGAAATTGTTTTCCTGGAAATCAAATCAACAAACTTTTTTTTCAGTGCTGTTTTAGCTATCTAACATTGTTTGGAAAAAACTCGCCTTTTCACCATAGCTCAGTTCCTACCCCAGCATATAATTTTATAATTTCAGTTCCAATCCTTATCCTGCTTTATTACTTGTGTTCTGGCTTTCTGATTCATGGTGGTATAATGCTTTCAGATATGTAGGAGTTTTAAACCACCTGACTTTGCTGCCCATCTTCTTTCTAAGTGACATCAGCTTGCAAATATTTGTCAATTATATCTTTGCTGTGATTCACATGCCTAAACCAGCTTGCATGTGAAGACATGCCTAAATCAGCTGAGGCTAATTTTGCTACTTTACAGTTATAATTTTCCATACTCTAAGTCATGGGTGTCAAACTTGTGGCATCATGTTGCCGTCACATGATATTTTGCAACATTTTTCCTTCGCAGAGTTGGGGTGGGCGTGGCCTGCGTGTGATGTATCTGGACCACAGGCTGCCAGTTTAACACCTCTGCTCGAAGTAATAGCTAATTTTTCAAAAAGTGGAAACTTCCAACATTCTTAGAAGAAGCTAGCAAACTAGTCTTCTCTGATATCATTCAACCAAGATTTAGCATTGCATTTAAGCATAACTATTTGTCTTTTACTAGTACAATATGCTTTTAGTTCATACTTTGTACTCTTTTTGCTCTTTTATGAATTTTTAAAGGTATAGTGATTACAGTAATATTCATCAATAGGTAGACTTCTTGGTGAACTAATTCAAACTTCAGTAGCTCTTTTTATTATCCATCCATTCATATGGATCAAACGCAAGATTTTTTTCTATTTCCGAAATTGTAGATATTCTGAAGCTATGTCATATGACCTGTTTTTTAAACATTTATTAAAATCTGTATTGTTGACTGTATTGCTGTATTGTTCTAACAAGAAATACTAGTTCATAATTCTACTATTCATAAAATATAGTACAATACTATACAATTAGCTTTCTTAAATTTTCCCTATGGATATTTTAAAAAATACATCAACATTTTAGAATAAAAAATAGATATCCTCTGATCCATTGTTTTGAGGGGGGAAGAATGGGAAATCTTCCTGGAACTATGATTAATGAATCATTTAGGATCCGAATACTAATAATTTTTACCTTATTTCTTCATGGGCTTTTACCCCCATAAAAGCCCATGAAGGAATAGACAAAAGGCTGCTTTATCAACTGATTAAAGGCTTTTAAGTGGGCTTATCATCTACTTTTAATTGATTCATTAAAACTGAACAGATATGCACATTGCACAAACCATATGCAAGTTGAATCTTGGAAATTTTTGTTGACAGAATATGTAAATTAATTTGTAATATAATTACAAATTAAAATGTAATCTAATGGGCAGAAAAGATTGCTCATCCTTCTAAAACAAGGCAATTAAAATATTGAACAAGGTCTTAAATTTTTAGCACTAATGTGCTTACTGTATATGCCGGCGTATAAGGCGACCCGGCGTATAAGACGACCCCCCAACATTTCCACTCAAAATATAGTTTGTTATATACTCGCCCCCTCTTCCGCACGCCTTCCACTTTTGCACTTTTTTTTTTTTTTGAGGCACTTTTGTGCACCGTGGAAAAGAAACCCGTGAAGCCGAAAGGAGCAGCCAGCCTTCTCCCAGCTCCCAAGGAAACGAGGCTCGCACCGCCCGAGCTCCGCTGAGGTATCCGGCTGGGGCTGTCAGGAGTTGTTACCGCTGGCGCAGCTCCGCGCGGCTCCAGTCCCGCGTTGCCTCGGGAAGGGAAAGGCAAAAAGGAAGAGCCGTGGCGGCGCTTTGCAATGGCAGCAGCGGCTCCTGGTTTTGCCTTTCCCTTCCCGAGGCAACGCGGGACTGGAGCCGCGCGGAGCCGCGCCAGCGGTAACAACTCCTGACAGCCCCAGCCGGATACCTCAGCGGAGCTCGGGCGGTGCGAGCCTCGTTTCCTTGGGAGCTGGGAGAAGGCTGGCTGCTCCTTTCGGCTTCACGGGATTCGTTTCCACGGTGCGCAAAAGTGCCTCAGCCGCGGGCAGCCGCAGTGCTTCCCAATTACTATTTGCCGGCGTATAAGATGACCCAGCGTATAAGATGACCCCCCCAATTGGAGGCATGTTTTTCAGGGCAAAAAAGTCATCTTATACGCCGGCAAATACGGTATATGGAAAAAGCTGATGAATCCTAGCCAAAACTACAATCTTAAAATAATTTTGGGAAATATTCATATGGGAAGAATATTCTTAAATTTGAATACAGGTGGTCAGTGATACAAAACTGTAATGCTTATTATGGTCACAAGTTGTTATTGTAAGTGAGCTCCCCAGGTGATTGCCTCACTTACTGACTAGTCTCTGCTCTACCCATTGCAGTCATTAAGTGACCAGGCAGGTTGTGAAGCAGAGCATAAGATTCTTTAGGAGTGGGAAGGCCCTGAGAAGTCTAGTGCAGGCCCAGGCTTGTATTGCAGCACTTCTCTAGCTCACAGGTGACCAGGGCACCTCCCATTCTGATGTGCCCTGTGCTTTGCTTTCTGCTTCCATACTGGGTCTCCATAGGCTTTGGGTACCATACCCTCCTCCCTTCCCCATTCCTGTCACAGATTGGTCATTTACCCTTTTGATATAACTTTGGGAAGAAGCCACTCTGTCACAAGGTCTTCCTACATAATGGTCTAATTGGAAGTGACCCCCATTTTGAAAATATTCACAATCTTATGCCCTCAACCTCCCTATACAGTGGAGGTCATGTGGCACCCTCCCAGAAGTGGGCACCATTTCAGAGAGGGATACGTATGGCATCACTACACTATCCCTGCTGTTGTTCACAAGGGTGGGCTGATTGCCATGTGGCTGAATTTTGTTCATAGGACTGCAGAAGCACTGTAGAAACTATTGGCCAGCAACAGAGGCAGCGAGGGCACAGGGGCCGAAGGTGTCTGGCAGCAGCCGCAGCCTGTGCAGCACAGGTAAGTTGATTATCTGTCCAAGATTTCCTGTAGCCCGTGCAGTGCATCAGGATCGCCTGCCTCTGCCTGCTGCTTGGACAGGTAATCAGTTCTGAAGAAGCTGGCAGACATGATCTTGGAATCACTGAACAGAATCTTTCAGAGCTCCTAAAGCACAGAGGAACTACCAAAGGACAGGAAAAAAAGCTCATGTGGTTGCAATCTATAAAAAGGGGGAAAATATATTCAAGAAACTACAAATCAGCTTGGTATCAATACCTGGGAAGATCCTGGAAAAGATAATAAATGAATTCGTGAGCATCTAGAAATGAACAAGATAATTAAAAGAAGCCAGCATGGGTTTATCAAAAACAGGTCATGCCGGATAACCCTTATTGCCTTCTTTGACAAAAATGGTTAAATTAGTAGATAGGGGAAACTGTGTGCAGTTTATTTAGACTTCAGTAAAGCATTTGACAAAGTAGCCCACAGCCTACTTTTTTGTAAGATAGAACGATGTGGGATAGTACATTCACCAAATGGAATCACAGCTAATCAACCACACTCAATGGATAGTCTTCAATGGAACTACATCTACATGTAGGGAAGCATGCAGAAGGATACTTCAAGGTTCTGTCTTAGTCCCAATCTTTATAAAAGGTTTAGATGAGTTAGTAAGAGAACTCATCATATTTGCAGGTGATACCAAGCTAGGAGGAATAGCTAATACTTTAGATATTGGATAGAAATTCAGAAGGACCTTGACACAGGTCTCTTCAACAAAATGAAATTCAGTGGAGAAAAATAGGGTCCTGTGAAGTGATAATGTGAAGATCATGTGAAGTGATAATGCCACTTTATATGCACTGTTGAGACCACACTTGGAATACTCCATCCAAATCTGATTAACGTAATAAAAAAAAAAGATTGAGACCCCAGAAAGAGTGCAGACAAGAACAAAGATGATCCAGAGTGTGGAGGCTAAACGTATGATGAATGATTGTGGGAATTAGGTATGTTTCATCTAATGAAGAGAATGATTAGGAGTGATATGATAGCAATCTTCCAGTAGTTTAGGGGCTTCACATAGAAAAGGGAGGGTGGAAAATCATTAAAGAGAGATCCAACCTAAAACTAAAGAAAAGTTTCTGGGGGTGAGAACAATTAATTAATCAGTGGAATGGCTGGCTTCCAGAAGTTGTAGGTGTTCTATCACAGGAGGTTTTCAAGAAGAGGCTGGACAATAATTTGTATAGAATGGTTTAAGAACTCCTGCCATGATCAGGAGCTTGGACTAGAAGACGAAACTCCCATCCAACCTTATTATTCTATGTTCTATCTATTCTACTACCTGTCTATCTATACATATATGTACAACCCACTATGTTTCTATTCTACCAAGATGACTGCAGCATACAATTTCTCATTTATTGATAATTGCTAATTAAAAGAGACAAAATCACAAAACCGTGTCTCATATTTTAGCCATATGGGAGAAATCATTGGAGAAAGCAATTATTTTGGAAGAGTTAGTGGTAAAAAGAAACCAGTCTGACAAAGAACACTGTGGTTGGACACCATCAAAGCTGACACTAATTAGAGAACAGAACATTTCACAGAAACAGTACAAGATCCTGGTCAACAGAATTGCCAAGTCAGACATAATTGAAGGGATAACTTCATCTTCATTAATTAAAAGAATCTAACATTTATTTTTAAAATCAGATGGTGACAGGCAGCAGGACACCAAGGCTAATATTTATGGGCATACTGGTGTTCATGACAATTTCACTGGGTTAACTCAGAAGTACTTTTTACTATACAAGCAGGCACCCCCAGATTCAAACAAGCTTATTCTTCCATTCTGTTATGGCAGCTGCTGGTAGAGTAATGCAAAGGACGTTCTCCATGGAAAGGGCTCTGCCTGCATACTGCACACTTGTATTGTTCCAAAGCTCAGAGATACTTAACTTTCATATCCAATAGGATTATATGGAAAAATCTTGAGGTGGTTGAGGTGGCAGAATCAATTTCTGAAGGCTTAATCACTTGAGAGCTAGGATAGTATACAGATGGAAGAGATACTTACTTAACATAGATGAGGCTTGGACATTCCTCAATGAGTCTTGCCACATACTTTGCTCCAATATCAGTAATCTGGTTGTTATATAAGCTTTGGAAGGAATAATAGCAGTTAGGATGTTAACTAATTAAGTTAATTACATCAAATACTTTTTTTTTAAAGTACAAATACAATTTCCTAATTGCAATCTAATTAAGACAGAATCTTGTTTTCCTTTGCACAAGAATCAATAAAAATTAAAGAAGCAGTTCCATATAGTTTCAGACCTCTTAAAATTTGTTACGGAACACTGCTTATTCAGTAGCTTTTGATGCATATACTGCTTTTTCAATTGACTTTAGAATAAAAGCCATTAAAGTAAAGGCAGCTTCTTCTAAGTGGACAAATATAAGCACGCACTATTAAAACAGAAATTAACAGATAGAAGGTACATAGCTTTCTTTTAAAATATTTCCTCTTAAGACAATTGTATTTTACTTTTTATTTATTTGACCACAGAGGAACCCTCCACCCACCCACCCTTAGCACCACCCAACCATCATTACCACCAGCACCACTGCATTGGCAAGCTATATTATAAAAACAGGAAGCAGATCTCACTCTTTAGCACTGATAATGTTACTTAGTTGGGTAATGAAATACCTGCAAGCAAATAATTAAGCTCAGAGAGAAGAATGGGTCTATTAACATGTAATGAATCAGGCATCGCACCTCTGCCTAGTTTTCCTAGTGCTCTTCAATTCATCTCCATTCAATAACTTACCAATTGATATTTTGTTATTTCATGATGCTGCACTAAATATAAAAATACGAAAGGCAGGATATAAATAAATGTGTGTTGATAGCAATCAAGTAATGAATCAAATGATCTGGCAAGAATCTAGAAATATGTGGAAGTCATTACTCTTTCACATTACTCCCTTGATAATGGGAACACTCCCTTCACACAATGAGTATCTGAGTTCGTCCTTTATACATACCCCAAATAAGAGACAATTTTGAATTTGGACAGTTCCTCATAAAGTACTCTCACACCCTGATCTGTGATCTGATTCACGCTCACCCTAAAGTAAAAGAAAGACATGTGATAAAGTAGCTGGTTCAGTTAAGTATGATCCTTAGTTCAAAGAGGCATCGGCAGATTTACTTTGTGATATCATCAATACAGAACAAAATGGCCTCTTTTCTCCTCCACTAACTGAAGCAATTTATCCATAAATAAGTAAACTAATCTCTGAAAGAAACCGATTATAATTCCTACAAGTAATATTTTAGGAATTCCTAGAATTACTCAAAGGACATTTTTACTAGCATTGTGTAAATGAGAGGGGGTGGGAGGAGAAAGAGCCTGCTCCCCGATTATTTCAAGAAGTAGTTCCTATTAGATCATTGTGTTATTGTACCTGAGTACTGCCAGATGGCTAAAGCAAGGCTGCAGTTGCTTGATCCCATAATCATTAATGTTGTTATTGTCCAGATCTAGGGCCAAGCGTTTCTGGAAATGATGCATAACAAAGGAGATGGCACTGCAGTCAGCAGAGTAGGCATTGCAGTAAGTCAGCTTGATATAGTTGGCACGCATGCATTTGGCAACCCCTTTACCAACTTTCTCACTCTGAGTCTCATAGATGCATCTCAGCATCCAAACAAAGTTTGGCATTACTTGCACCTGTTTGTATTCTTTCAGCCTTGCCCGAGAGAGACCTTTCAGATGAGACTTCATGCTTTCAAAAAAATAGGCAAGAAGAATCCTCCTTTTCTTCTTGATTGTACTCAGAGGAATCAGATGCCTCAAGAGTTTCTGCCTTGCTTTGGAAAGCAAGCCACACAAGAAGAGATTAGTAAAATGAAAGTGCTCTTTATTTCGGAAAGGATCCCCTCCTGTTGGGTGGTAATTTTTTGACCAGGAAAGAGGCAAGCAGGAAGACAGAGTAGTGTCTTGCATGGAGCATTCAGCAAAAAACTGCAGCAAATCCCTGGCCCCCACTTTCTCATCTGTTACCAGATAAAAAGCTGTGAAAAATGACTGCAAGGTCAAGTGCAGGAATTCATAGGAAGATTGGTCTACAGCATCTTCATAATTAGGAACTGCCCTGAGAAATCCTAAATGTAAATCCTGCTTAAGGAGGTCACTAAGAACTTCCTCTTGCTCAAAGACAAAGAGAGATTTCTGCATTCCCATGTAGGCTATTTTACTCAGTGCAAACAATTTCTCTTTATTGGACCTGTATGTTTCTTCTTGGCTTCTGTTGTTCTTCTTTAGCAAATTTGTCTTTTGAATGCGATTCAAGTGGACTTCAGTCATGAGCAAGAAAATGTCTGTTAGAGTGACAGTGAAGTCTGGGAGCTCATGACTATCAAATGCAGAATGGAAATGTTCAAAGCATTTGAAGATAATCCAACAAAATAATGGCACCGAACACAAACTGCTTAGATTTGGATTGGCTTCCAGTTGGTTCAAAACCAAAGTCTGACATCCTTCATCTTTGAAAAACATTTTAGTATAATCTTTCAAGTTACTACTGGAAAACCCTCGGAGATGTACTTTCTTCCGGACAATGTTTTTATCAATTTCTGTCCCTGTCCTGGCTGTCAGAATTTTTCTAGATCCCTTCAAAAGTTTTCCACTGAGGAGGCCCACCAGAAGAGCAAGTGGGTGAATAGATTCAGTGGGAGAGCAGATTTCAAGAATACTATTGAGATCAAAATCAGAATGAATTTCATCAAAGCCATCAAATGTAAACAAAACAGTATGAGGAAATTTTACAATGAAGTTGAAAACTTCCTCTTGATCCTGATCTGGGAAACAGTTATATTTGAAGAGAAGATCCTTTAAACAAAAAGCTTCTTCTTGCTTAAAGCAGCTGAACATTCGGCATCGGAAACGAAAGAAGAATTTGGCCCCTACATCAAAGGCATTCTTGGACCAGAGATTTTGCATCTTTTGCAATAACATGGACTTTCCAATCCCAGCATCCCCAAAGATATAGATGGTCTCTCCATTTTCATTGATCAGCCCCAAATTGTCAGTAAGTAGATCTTCGAAGGCATCCACACTACTGAGTTTCTCATTTTTATGATTGAGAAACTCCATAATGTTGGCAGAATATATTTCTTCAAGCAACATGTCTTCTTTTTGGGCATATGACATGATAAACTTTGTTTCTCGGCCCAATTCATCTTTAAGTTTCTGCTGGTATCTGCTGACTAAAGATAAAGCTGAGTATTATTAAATGAAATTTTAATGCAGGTCGCCTAACAGAAAGATTTTAAGAACCACTTTAAAAAATGTACACTAATAGATATGATCTATTTAAATTTTGTTCTACCCTTTCATGTTTCTCTGGAACATGTAAGAATTTTCAAAGCAGCTATAGAATTTCTCAAAGGATTGGCACTCAAAAAATAATAGTAAAACATATATACACTCATAAACACCAAATATTTAGATCATAAACTTCTCTTTACACAGATAGACTTCCTCCATGGAAGTATATTGCTGTAAATGTATGCTGGGAAATTGATGTCCCATTCCCCCCAATATACAAAGTGTAATTTCCTCAGATTAGCATATTTCCAACTTGCAAATTGTCACAGAATTATTTTACTCTGAATCCAATTGCAATAATAAACAATAGTAAAATAACTATTATATAAAATTATATACATTTTTCACTTACCTTGCCCAGTGGGTTCTTTCTCAAATGTGATGATTATAATGCCTATCATTTTGTTTTGTGGCAAGTAGTTACCAAGAATTCAATACAGGTAGTCCTTGACTTACAACAGTTCATTTAGTGACTATTCAAAGTTACAATGGCACTGAAAAAAGCGATTTATGACCATTTTTCACACTTACAACCATTGCAGCACTCTGATAGTTATGCAATCAAAATGACAGTTGCAGTGTCCCAGAGTCATCACCTTTTGTGACCTTCTGACAAGCAATGTCAATGGGGAAACCAAATTGACTTAACAACCATGTATCAACTACAATGTTGTATTCTGCCCCCCTCCCATTTCTATGGCATGTAATATATAGAAATATATTTGACCTCCAAAAGCTAGCATTTTGTAATTGTGATATTCTTATTTAAATGATACCTAAATATATACATGATCCCCATGCTATTCCTCTTCTGGACAATGCACAGAAGAGAAGTAAGAACTTAAGCCAATAAATTACATGGAAAGAAAATACAGCTAAAACTAATGTACTACACCATTCCATATTATCCAACAACTTTTATTTTGATTATGCCCATTCAATGTTTTAGATAGTCTTCTTCATCTTGCCTTGCCTCCTTCACTCTTATTCCTGATTTGTTTTCAACTCCATTGTTGTACATCCTCTCTGAATGATTAAACTCACATTTTTATAATCCATATTTATTCAACCACTCATTTTTAAACCTATGTTTTGATTCTTTTTACCTCTTAAGAACCAATTCTTACCATACTCCACTTATTTTTATTTTTCTCTTTACACATCCAACTCTCAATCCCATATAACAAATTAAGCAGGAGCAGGACAATTTTACATTTCCTTCAAAATACTTTACTTCCTCACAATAAAACACATTCATTTCGTTGCTTTCCTATCAACATCTATACTTGTAGTTTTATAATAAAGTTTCTCCATCCATTTCCTCATTCCAAGAAAATATCTACCTGCATTTCTGTATAACTTCCAATTGTTTACACTTCCCAATAAAACATGGAACCTTCATCTACGATAATTTTCAAATCCCTATCCTTATTTAATCAGTCTATTGATCATTGACTTCAAATCATTTGTGTTCTCCCAATGACATGGCAGTAATAGCACACATTGTAAATATTGATCAAAATCTCATGTATTCATAAACTGATTAAAGGGCTATCACTTATACTTGCCTCACTCCTTTTTCAGTTTGAACCATAGCACTTCCTCCTATTCCTCCATTTCTTTCTCTCTGTTCCAAGGAGCTTCCCCTTTCCAAGCATTAACTTATTACTCTTTAAATACTTTTTCTTATATATTTTGTACTATCTCTTTTCTTTCATGTCTACTTTTGCCTAAAATCCACTCTTGACACTTTGACAAATTTGTTATTCAGAACTCTCATCAACTTAATATTAATTCTGCCAGTCTTTCAATATAAATAATCAAATCCATTATGTTTTAAGATTTATATATTTAATTCCACAAATTAAAATAATAGGATCTGTTTAACAAACATCTGAACAAGCTTATATTTAAATTGAAACAGATTTTTAATATTTTAATTATTGGATGACCCAATCATTCTCTCCTCTGATACCTAACTAGTGGAATATATATTTATTTTAGATTGCCTATATTCAGAAGATTTCACATTTTCTTTCAAAACTCCTTAAAATTACATATTCATTCATCTTACAGGAAGTCCTCAACTTGCAACCACAATTGAGCCCAAATTTTCTGTTTCTACACAATGCTGTTGTTAAGTGAATTGTGCTCTATTTTACTTTAGTTTTTGTCACAATTGTTTAGCAAACCAGAGCAACTATTAAGTGAATCATGGAGCTGCTAAGTTGATTTTGTTTCCCCTATTGACTGTGCTTGTCGAAAAGTAGCTGTGAAGGTTACAAATAGTGGTCATATGATCCCAGGAAAGTACAACTGTCATAAATACATGCCAGTTGCAGAGTGCCAGAATTTTGATCATGTGATAATGTGATCAGTGGTAAATGTGAAAAAGTCATAAGTCATTTTTGTCAGCACTGTTGCAATTTTAAACAGTCACTAAACTAATGGTTGTAAGTTGAGACCGACCTGTACATCCTCCCTTTTTAACGAATTTTGGCTTTATCCTGTTAGTTTTCTATGTTATATTATCCCCATCATCATCATGCTTTGTTTCTATGTTGAAAAAGTTAATTTTAAAAATTAAAAGAACAAGATCAAACTTTCCTAACTTGATATCTTACCTGGGTCAGTATTTTCCACAGGTTTGCTACAAATGACTTCTGATGGGCGAAAGCCAATCTCCTCCAACCAAGGATGTAAGTCATAATAAGCATCACCAGCTTGTTGCAGGACATACAGGCAATACTCTGCAACTTCCTCACCTTTACTCTGGGCTAGGTCTAGAATTTTACGGACCTTAAGGAAAAGATCAGATAAAGTCTCAAGCATATTTAGGCTATAAGTAACTATTCACTGAAACATCATCATACATGGTAAATGGCTATAACACTAATAAATGTTAATATAATTACAATTAATTAAAATACAATTAGTGTGATTGCTCCCTGTGTATTTAACAATCTCCTAACATCCAATACAATCAGGTGATAAGTTTGGAGAATTCCAGAAGTTACACTAAGATAAGCTAGATACCTAATTCAGGAAATACAAGTGGTGTACCCCAATGTCTGGAGAAATACTATTTCATTACACACACACACACACACACACACACACAATGGGACACAAAAGTTTTTATGTGTTCACTATTATGTATAGAAGCTTCCAGGGGATCTAGAATATGATTGAAAAAGTTTCTAGAATCAAAGGAAGCTTCCATATTTCATTTGAAGAATTTTTCATTTCAAAGTGTCCATCCAAGTGCAGAATTCAGGAAAAGCAGAAGTTGACTACCAGACCAATCCATTTATTTCTATATATTTTATGTCCTTAATCAAGTAATAATAAAAAGGGCTATGTAAAATAAACAAACTTTTTTTTCCTGAACATTGATAAGATATAGTTAATCTACTATCAAGGAAGAGGAATGGGATGGGATGGGGATGGGAATGGAACAGAATAGAATAATCTTGTAATTGTTTATAAAATTCTGCCGGTAGCCGATCAAACCCTGGCATTTTATTATTCTTTTGTCTCTTAATTGCTTCTGTCAATTCCATCATACCTGTGTTTCTTAGAAAATAAAACAGGGCCTTATTTTCTTTAGAGCCCCGAAAAAACAGCTAGGCTTTCCAAGGGGTGTTTTAATTTCTCCCCCACGCACCTTAACCTAATCACCGGGCCGCTTCTATCATGGCTGAAAGGAATGCCCCATGCGCTTTGCCTCTCCACCAGGCCGCTTCTTTAGCTGCTGAAAGGAGTGCCCCACACACACCCTTGCCTCTCCATGGGCCACTTCTTTAGCGGCTGAAAGGAGCACACCCTTGCCTCTCCACCGGGCCACTTCTGTAGTGGCCGAAAGGAGCTATTCCTTAGCACAGACTGAGGGAAGAATGGCAGGCAGGAAAATTCCCCCTCCCCATTTTCCTCCCATTCACCTCCCAAAAAGAGGGAAAAAGAAAAACTAACCTTCCAACTTCTCATAGAAAAAAAAAGATCTTGCAAAGTTGGAAAGTCTGAACTATCATAGTTTTTTTACCTTCCAACTTCGCGAGATCTTTTTTTTTTCCATGAGAAGTTGGAAGGTCTGAACTATGGTGGGTTTTTTTTTACTGTAATTTGCTCTCTCTCTCTCTCTGCATTTTCAAAAAAGTTTTGTTTTACACTTTTGACTTTTTTGTGCCAGTTCATCTTTTTCCAACAGATTCATTTTGTGTTTTATTATATCTATTTGATTTTTCAATTTCTTTTTTATGGTTCTTTCTGTAATTCTGATTCTAATCTTATATGTTCTTCTAACATTTTCTTATTTTGTTTCTTCTTGTTTTTCTTCCCCATGTAAATTATGACTAATCTCCAGGTATAGGGGGATTATAGCAGTATATGTAGCAGTTTCCCTTACAGTTTTGCAAGAAAGTCTCTTCTTTCCTATTCTCTTTTTTTTTAAAAAGTCCAGTTCTTTTTCCATACTTCATATAAAAATTCTTTATCTTGCAGTATCACTTGGTTCAATGTTCATCTCAATTTTCTTTTCTTTTTCTTCCATACAACTTTTACAGGATTATGATCTGCCCAAACATTGGGTTCTATTTCTATCTCTAGTCTAGTACACATGCTTTCAATTCTGATGACCTCCATATCATGTCTATTCTAGACCAGGATTTATGTCTATTTGAATAGAATAAGTACTGATTTTTCTTGGGGTGTGTTTCCATACATCTTGGGTTCCTATTTCTTTTATCATTTAAAAAAAGGTTTTAGGAATGTTTTCCTAGCTTTTTTTTTTTTTACTACTCCTGTTTTACTACTCTTATAATCAAGCTCTGTATCTACAATTGCATTGAAGTCTCCTACCACATAAATATTTTTATATTCCAATTCTTATAGTTTTCCATAAAACTCTTGTTAGGTGCATATATCACTAACAACATCTGTTTTTGATTCATTGTTACCCCCACCATCAATATTCTCCCAACTTCATCTGCAAAAATTTGTCTAGCCATTATTGTTTCTTTAATACATAACCCTGCCCCCCCCTTTTTTGCTGTGCTAATGAAGAATACAGTTTCCCAATTTTGGGGTACTCTAATAACTTACTATATTGTTTTTAATGTGAATCTCTGGAAGACAAATTCAATCTAGTTTTAATTGTTCTAATTTATTCAAAATCTTTTTCTTTTCATGGATGAGTTATATTGATTGATAATAGTTCTGTTTCTTCTTCCACTGTTTATTTATGGATAGTTTTTGTTGTTCTAGTTGATCTTATTTCTCTCTGTTCTGTCTTGTTCCTTCTCATTCCCTTCTCTTTTTGCTGTTTCAGTTTCTTGTTGTTGTGTGCTTCCCACTACTAACACTCTTATTAGTAGTTTTTTGACATCTACTTCCTCCCTTCTCTCTTCTTATATGATGCAAAATGCTGATAATAGAATTGTCCTGCTTTATCTGTTATATCTAATCTATGTCTTTTTTCCATCTAAATCACCAATATTCCCACAGGTATCAGCCATCTAAAGTTTACATCATGTTTTATTAGTTGTCTTGTCAAAAATTGATACTGCTTCCATTGTATCTCTTACTCTTCGAGGTATTTGTTTCAAGACTATTTCTCTCCCTTTATATTTCAATGGGGAATCTCTTGCTTTTTGAAGTATTTCCACTCGTATTGTCTTCTTTGAAAATCTCACATGTACCTCTCTAGGGAGTTTGTTCCTTGTCGCGTAGCTTGTGTGTATTCTAAATATTTCATCTATCCCAGAGAGGACGTCCTGCTTGCTCTCCTCCATCACATCCACCAACAATTCTGCCATTTTTTCAGCAAGATCTTCCCCTTTTTCCTCCTCAATATTCTGAAATCTTGGGAAATATTCTGCTCTGTCCAACTCCAGCCTTTATTAGGGATCACTCAAGCGCAGTCAATCTGTAATCCATCTCTCCTATTTTCTGAATCTGTTGTTCATTTTTAGTGATTCTTTGCTGGATGTTATCTATTTTATCCTCCATCTTTTGCATCCTATCTGCCAAATCATCATGATTCCTGGCCATGGCTTTTTGTAATAGTTGAAAGATCATTTTCATTTCTGACTGAAAGGTGTTCAATCATTCATTATGCAACATACTGTCTATAGATTCGCTGGACTTGCTGCTGCTGATGGTGCAGATGCATTTCTTCCTCTGTTTTACTTAAATTTGTATTGCCTGTCATTTTGGTTATTTTAAATAAGAAAATATTTTAAGTAATAATTATTTAACAGAGACAATAAATCAATAACCAAACAATAATAAATCGAACAATACCCCACAATACCCAATTTAAACAATACACCGGAAACAGTCCAACAATTTCCTTTCTTATTCCCAGTTCTTATTTTCAGACCTCAGGTCACTTCACCCTTTTATCTGTTATATTTCACAAAGCCAAAATATCCATAGCCCAAAGTTCTCTTCAAAAATGTTGTTTACTTCTTGATAAATTGTAATCCACAAAGGCACACCAAACTCCAAAATTGTGTCAAACAGATTATATATCACCAGATAGGAGAGCTGAAAGAAAAGTCTTCACTTGCTTTATAAAAAAACTCCTATTTTTCAGTTTCAGTTGCTCAGTTTATAAAATCCATATCCATTCAAAGAGTTACAATGTTTAAAACTCACAGTTTCCACTCTCTTTCTTTGCAGTTCTCTCTATAAACAGTTTTCAGGTGCAGACAGTTTATCTGAGTCTTGTAACAATGTTCTTTCAATAAACTGCCCAAGGTCAATTGTTAATCTCACTTTCTTTTCTTTACTTTCACTCTAAGAGTTTTTCCTGCCAGCAGGAGTCTCTGTTGCTCTATTTCTCTTCTACTCCTCTCCTTTAACTACATTTAACATAAGCCAAATCTTTTTATTTGAGGGGTTCCAAGATCCAAGTTTTACATTCCAAAAAAGTTTTTAATTCAATAAAATCCAATTAATATTATCATTAAGATAGCCACTGAAATTTTCCTCTTTTAACACTTATTTCTCTCAAATAGTTCAATTTATTGTCCATATCTATTTCAATATTTGTGTTTATTCACAGCTAACCAAGTCACAAAAATAGAAGAAAGTCCGTTTAATGCCCCAACCTGGCCCCAATGTACAATTATCCTTGGCTGGATTTCAAACTCTTAAAGAAAACAGTTTATGGAGGGAGTAAATGCAATCCACACCCAAAGTAAAGTTAACTCAAAATAAAAAACCCAACACAAACCACACTGAAGGAATTACTATGGCAGGCAAGAATGATTAATTGCAGACTTCTACCAGATAATGCAGCAACCATAGTTGGGAAGAAGCCAAAAACACAGATAAGCTCCAACACGAATGCATACTTTGCTTCCAGCAACTTTGCCATGTGCAGTTTGTCCTTTTAACCAGTCCTTCCAGTTGCAGCCCATGAAGGGGATCAGGGCCCCTCTTCCTCCCCGTAGACCACACCACTCATGTTTCTCCCTTATCCCTCCTCACTGCATGCCCTAGGATAAAGAGGGGATGGGCCTGGGTCTTCCTCTGAATGCTCATCCGGCACAGGGGCTGGAAGGGACCTTCCCCCACACAGGGTGCTTCCAGGGCCAGATATCCTTTCCTGGTGCTGAGGGCCCCTGCAGATTAACTCTTCAGCTGTAAGTCATTGGGGGAACAGGCAGAGCAGCAACAGGGGTTACATTGCCCTAATTGGCTAATTCCTCTCTTCTAGCTGCATGAGGCTCCTGCTGCACAGCTGACTGACTGTACTGTGGGGTGGGAGATCTATCCCCTGCTTGAAAGGCCTC